AAAACAGAGAGAGAGAGAGAGAGAGAGAGAGAGAGAGAGGAAGGAAGGAAGGAAGGAAGGAAGGAAGGAAGGAAAGTCATTGAGGTGGATGTCCTCCATAACCCATGAGTAAAGGTTCATTATTAAAATCCATCTGAACTATGCATACCACAGTGAAATGAGGCTTGTGCTAGCCTCTCCATCTCTTTATTCAAAGCCAATAATATGAAACAGAGACAAAAAGTTGAGTAAAATTGTTCATCTCTGTGGGTTTTGTTGGAGCCAAAATACTTGAATTTAATTTGAAGATGTTAAATATAATAAACCCCTTGTTTAAGTAATTTTGCAACCATTACAAATGATGTGTACGATATTTTTGTAACCTGAGAAAAATGTTGATGTGATGATGTTTTTTGTTTTGTTTTTGTTTTTTCTTATTTTCTTCTTTGTGAGGCAGCCCAGGCTGTCCTGGAACTCACTATGTAGCCCAGGATAGCCTAGAACTCATGGGCAATCCTCCTTTCTCAGCCTTCCCTGTGATAGGATTACAGATGTGTGCGACTGTGCCTAGCTATCTAATGTTAAAGAATGGCATGAGAAAATGCAGACATCAGCTACAGTCTCCTTGGGTGGTAGAGCTATGTTCTAGCTTCATTTCTGTTGCTGTGATAAAGCACTTTGATCGAAAGCAATATAGGTAGGAAAAGGTTTATTTGGCTTACACTTCCAGGTCACAGTCCATCACTGAGGGAAGTCAGAGCAGAACTCAAGCAGGAACTTGAAGCAGAAGCCATGGAGGATGCTGCTTGCTGGCTCACTCACAGACTCATGCTCAGCTAGCTTTCTTACACAGCCCAGAACCGCCTGCCTAGGGAATGGTGCTGCCCACAGTGGGCTGCCCCACCCCCCATCGTGAGCAATCCTCCTTCCTCAGCCTTTAATAATGAAGGAAATCCCCACAGACATCTGATCTGGGAAATCCCTTAATGGAGGCTCCCTTCTTAGGTGGTTCTAAGTTTTGTTGTAGACAGCTAACGCTTACTAGGATGTATACTGATACTGTTTTCACCGTGCTTTGTGATAATTTCAAGAATAGATTAAAAATGAGGTGAGCCAAACATGGTGGTGTATGTCTATAATCTCAGCATTCTGGATGCTGAGGCAGGAGGAGCATGAGTTTGAGGCTAGCTTGGGCTAAGGAGACCCTGTCTGGAGGGAATGGAGAGAAAACAAGGAGAGGGAAAGGAAGGGAGAGAAAGAAGCTAGAATGTGGCCAGGGCTGCTGCGCACAGGGGCACCCAGCGCAAAGCCTGCCATTGCAGCCAACAGTATAAATGGGGCTATTTAATTGACCTTGGCAAAACACAGAGATCATAATTCGATTTCTTTGTATTCAGGAAGACTTTTCTTTTGGCAAGTTTTCCTGTACTTTTGCAAATAAATACAATACATGCAGGGTGTAGAAAATGTAAAGATGGAAACAAAATTTCATCTGACTCGCAATTCCCAGATAAGATCAACGTTGGCATGGCAGAGTATTTGGCTCTGTTATTCACTTTTTGTTTGTTAAACCTGCCCTACTCTGGTATACTTCAGTCAATTGCATTAAATTAAATCCAGAAAATTCAGTTGGTAATAAGATCTACCATTATTCAGATTAGTTTATTTTGGTTGTTTTACTTTGTTCTGTTTTGATTTGTTTTTTTTTTTTCCTTTTTGTTCTTGTTTTCTTACTCAGAGTACCACACTATAAACTCAAGCTGGCCTTGAATTCACTGTGTAAATAAGAGTGCCTTCAAACTGATGGAAATTCTCCTGCCTTAGCTTTCTGAGTGCTAAGATTGTAGATGTGAACCACCATATCTAGCAATTTAGACTTAGGGGGTGGTTCAAGTATGTGTGTGTGTGTGTGTGTGTGTGTGTGTGTGTGTGTGTGTGTGTGTATGGATGCATGTTGAGGCTAGAAGACAACCCTGAGTATCATTTCTCAGGTGGTATCCAACTTTATTATTTTTTGACACAAGGTCTCTCACTGATCTGGAGCTCAACAGTAGGCTGGGCTAACTGGACAGGGAGTCCCAGGGATTGGTCTGTCTCTCCCCTCCCCAGTGTTGGGATAACAGGTGTGTGCCACCACACCCAGATTTTTCACGTGGGTTCTGCAGGTTGAACTCAGGTTCTCATACTTGCAAGGCCAGCACTTTACCCACTGAGCCACCTCCCCAACCCCATGTCAGTGCACTCATTTGTTGTTTTATTATCTTTCACACTCTGTCTTAGGAATAACCTAACCTGATCTCAAATCCCTCAAATTATTAAAATGAGTGTTTGTACCAGGATCCATTTATGATCTGTTTATACACCTGCCCCAGTCCTGATCTCTCTGAGGCGCTTTTAAATGGGTGACCCTTAAAGAGCTGAGTGACCAATATTCCTTTATCTAAAAGTTCTCTTAAGGCTGGGGAGGTGGTTCAATTGGCAAAGTGTTTGCCTGGCAAGCAATAGGACTTGAGTTTGATCTACAGAACCAACATGCAAACAAACAAACATCATGGTGTAATCCCAGCACTTGGTATGCTGAGGCAGCCAGCCTAGCCAAATCAGTGAGTTCCAGATTAGTGAGAGACCTGTCTCAGAGAACAAGGTGGGGATTAGAGAGATGGCTCAGTGATTGAGAACACTGCCTACTCTTTCAGAGGACCCAGGTTCAGTTCCCAGAACCCATATAGTGGCTAACAACAGTCTATAAATTCCAACTCCAAGGGATCCAACACCCTCTTCTGGCCTTTATGGGCACTGCAGCACATTGTGCCTTTACATACATGTAGGCAAAACATTCGACACATAAAATATAAATAAATAAATAAATAAATAAATAAATAATATTTTAAAAAGGTAGGCAATTCTTAAGGAACACAACCTGATGTCCTTTGGCCTTTATATACATGTGCATACATACATGCATGCACAGGTGTGCCCATACATAAATTAACAGCACTTAAACACACAGATGCACAGTTCCCTGCCATCTCTTTATTTTTGGTTGTTTTTTTCTTTTCTTTTTTTTTCTGAGACAGGGTCTCCCTGTAGCCTCAGCTGGCCTGGAATTCATTATGTAGACCACAAGCTAGCCTCAATCTCACAGAGGTCTGCCTGCCTCTGCCTCTCAAGTGCTGGGATTAAAAGCATGTGCCACCACTCCTGGCTTGCCAAACATTTTAAAAAAGATTTATTATTTATGTGTATGTGTGCAGGCATCAGATCCCCTGGAGCAAGAGTTCCAGGCAGTTGTGAGCTGTCCAACATGGGTGCTGGGAACTGAAACTGGATCCTCTGCAAGAATAGCCAGTGCTTTTTAACCACTGAGCCATGTCTCCAGCCCCCTGGCATTTTCTTTTTGTGTAGAATGAAAGAGGGTGATGGTAGAGGCCAGGCTGCCCAGACCCAGGACACCCACTGGAGGGCTTTATCCTTCATGTTGAACAGATCAGCTCATAGACTCAGGCCCTAGTCCTCATTGGGGATGTCATGGCCTCTCTGCCATGTCACACACTGGGATTCTCGCTGGGAGGCTGATCACCACTAGATGACTTCTGATAGTGATGTTTTGTCTCTTCTTTTAGCTTCGTAACAACAAGGCCAAGGATGTCTGCTTGGACCAGGGGCCACTGGAGAACCACACAGCAATACTGTACCCATGCCATGGCTGGGGACCACAGGTATGACCACACACAATAGTAAATGTACCTTTGCCATGACTGAGGACCACAGGTAAGACTACACACAGTGGTAATGTGCCATGCCACAGCTGAGGACCACAGGTAGGATCGCATCTCTGATGCAGAAATGAGTAAAATCAACAGTCCATAGGGGCCTTGTGGAACTTTTGGAAACTTTTATTGTCCCCTACTTTAGTTATTGTTCTTAATATTGTGATTATTAGAATGTGGCTTTCTGGTTGTGTCTTTAAAGATGCCAATGAGAAGATACACTGTGAGGGTTAATTCTGACTGTCAACCTTATAGGACCTAGAATCACCTAGAAGACACACCTCTGGGTGTGCCTGTGAGGGAGTTTCTAGGTCAGGTTAACTGAGGTGGGAAGACTCACCCTGAATGTGAGCAGCACCACCCCGTGGGCTGGGGTCCTGACTGAATAAAAAGGAGAAAGTGAGCTGAGCACCAGCATTCATCTCTCTGCTTCCTGACTGTGGATGCCATGTGAGAAGCTGCCTCACACTCCTGCTGCCATGTCTTCCCACCATGGTGGACTGTGCCCTCAAACTGTGAGCCAGAATAAACCCTTCCTTAAGTTTCTTTTTCAGGTTTTTTGTCACAGCAATGAAAAAAGTCACTAATACTGTTAGTTACATCTGTGCAAACATCAAAGATGGTCAGTGCACATATCACACATTGAAAGTGAAGATAAGCTTCAGAGTCATACAGCAAAGCTGCACCATATTCCGTCATCCTAACCAAGTATGCATGCCTACAGCTAGGGAGAAACAAGAGAGACCCTTTTTTATTGTGTGTGTGTGTGTGTGTGTGTGTGTGTGTGTGTGTGTCCTGTGTATGGGTATGTACACATAACTGCAGTACCCATGAAGGCCAGAAGAAGACATCAGATCTTGAGCTGGACTTACTGGAACCTGTAAGCTGCCTGACAAAGGTGCTGGGAACCAAACTCCAGTCATCTGGGAGAGCAGCAAATGCTCTTATTATCTGAGCCATCTCTCTAATCCTCACTTTTGAGAAGCCAGTTGGCATGCCCATCCTGAAAAGCTGCCATTGCTTTGGCAGGCAGTGCACTACAGATCATAAACCCTAATACAAAAGCAGAGTGCTCCCTGAGAAGAAGGAAAGTATGTTCAAGATGTCAGAGAACACACACGACATCTTGAAAAGGGCAAAGCGATTAATCAAGAAGTGAAAGCAGAACCTGAGAAATGAGTCTCCCTCGATAGCTTGTTGTAAGCTAGTGGTGTATGCAGGTGTGTGTGTGTGTGTGTGTGTGTGTGTGTGTGTGTGTGCAGGTGCACAAAGGACTTACCAGAAACTCCCTCAGATAGGGAGGAAACACATCCCAAAATACTGTTAGACATGGCATTCATAGAAGTGTTGAATGTTCTTAGGTCAGCAGGCAGTCACAAAAGGCAAACTACAGACTGAGAACACATTTACATCCCATTCAGAAGACCCTGGAGAGTTAGTGCTAAGTCATTGTGTTAGTTGCTCTTCTCATAAGTGAGACCAAAATGCCTGACAAGAAGTAACGCAAAGGGTCTGGAGAGATGGCTCAGCGGTTAAGAGCACTGACTACTCTTGTAGAGGACATGGGTTCAGTTCCCAGATCCACATGGGGGCTCACAACCAACTCTAACTCCAGCTCAAGGAGATCCAGCACCATCTTCTGACTTCTGAGGGTATTGCACATAGGTGGTGCATCTAAACTCACATAGATACGCACACATACAGGTAATTAAAACTAAAATAAATCTTTAAAAAAGGAAGCAATGTAAGGGTAAAAGGATGATCCTAATAATTGTCTCCCAGAGACCTAAGGTTTCCCTGTCTGGCTTTAGACATGTTTTTTCTTGCTCTTTTTAAAAATTATCTTTTATTAATTATATAATAATTTGTTTCATTGTGACATTTTCATGCATGTATAATAATGTATCTTGATCACGTACACCCCCATTACCCTCTCTCATCCCCCAAGGTTCTGCCCAGTGGGCACCTGCTAAACAGACCCAGCAGGAATGCCTAAACGAGGGGCTGGGGATATCCCTTAGTGGCAGAGCACTTAACTGGCATGCTCACAGACCTGGGTTCTAGCCTTAACACCACAAGTCTTTTTTTCAATTTATATTTTTCTTATACTTTATTTTTATGATTTTTACTTTATGAGTGTGTTGCCTGCATGTATGTAAGTGCACCCATGTTGTACAATGCCCAGGGAGGTCAGAAGAGGGCATCAATCCCCTGGAACTAGAGTTAGGATGGTTGTAAGATGCCATGTGGTGCTTGGAATTGAACCCAGGTCCTCTGCAAGAACAGCCAGTGCTCTTAACCACTGAGCCATCTCTCCAGCCCCTTTAATTTATATTTTAAAACTTAAAAAGAAGAAAAGGAATGCCAGGCTAGAGAGATGACTCCATAGGTGAACAACTGCTTGCCTTGTAAACATAAGGACGTGAGTTCAGGGCTACAGAACCTGCATTTTAAAAGATAAGATCAGTGGCATGCACTTGTAACCTCAGCACTGGGGAGGTAGGGGCAGGAGAATGCCTGGAGCTCACTAGCCAGTTAGTCTAGCTGAATTGTTGTGTTCCAGGTTCAGAGAAACCCTGTCTCAAAAAAACAAGGTGGGAAATGATAGTGGAAGACACTTGATGATGACCTCTGGCCTTTACAAGCATGCACACACATGTAATACACACACCACACCCCAACACAAGAATACCTAGGTAGAGGGCATTCAGTGGGAGAATACTCATCCAGCATGCTCAAGGACCTAAGTTTGATCCTCAGCACTGCAAAATTAAACTTTTAATTAAAGTTTTTTTCTTAAATCCCTAAGTAGAGTCAGACATGGTGGTGCATGTGTGTAATCCTAGAGAAACCGAGGCAGAGGGATCTTGAATTTGAGGCTAGCCTGGTCTACATAACAAAACCTTTTCTTTTTTTTTTTAAAGAGGGGCTGGAGAGATGGTTCAGTAGTTAGCCCACTGACTGCTCTTGCCGAGGACTCGGGTTCAATTCCCAGCACTCACATGCACAGCTAACAACTGTCTATAACTACAGTTCCAGGGGATCTGATTGATGCACTCTTCTGACCGCCACAGGCACTGCAAGACATGGGTGCATTTACATACATGCAGGCAATACACTCATATACATAATAATAATAAATATAATTTTTTAAAAAGACAAAAACAGGTACTGTTGAGATGGTTCAGCAGTTAAGAGCTCTTGCTGCTCTGGCCAAGGACCTAAGTTCAATTCCTTACACATTCCCACATTGTGAAATTCACAAGTGCATGTAACCCCAACTCCAGGGAATCTGATACCCCTTTCTGGCCTCTGTGGGCACTACACCCACATATGAAGATACACACATACACACACACACACACACACACACACACACACACACACACACACAGGCACACACATACATACTCATAAATAAAATAAAATAAGTCTTTACAAACAAACAGAACAATTTCTAGGTAAACTGTAATGGCTACACTCTTCCGTACCTAAGGAGGAACCAAAAGGACCAGTTACCAAGTTTCCTTTCCTAGTGGAAGTTGACTAACGCAGCACAGTGCCAGGGTGTGCTAGTTACTTCTTGTCAACGTAACACAAACTAGAGTCATCTGGAAAGAGGGCACCTGAGCATGTCTGTGGGGCATATTCTTGATTGCTACTTGATATGGGTAGGTTCAGCCCACTGTGGGTAGGGCCACGCCATCCCCTGGGTTGGTGGACCTGGGCTGTGTAAGAAAAGTAGCTGATAAAGCCAAGGGGAACAAACCAGTAAGCAGCGTTCCTCCATGGTCTCTGCTTCAGTTCCTGCCTCCAGGTTCCTGCCTTGAGTTCCTGCCATGACTTAACTGGATGACAGATCTGAGCTGTAAGCCAAATAAACACTTTCCTCCCCAAGTTGTTTTTGGTCCTGGTGTTTATCACAGCAACAGAGAAGCAAAGTAGGATACAGGGCCTCTGTTTGGAAATAACTAGAATCCATCTTTCATTAGTTCCACCTGTGAACACAGCATACCTGCCTTGAGCTGATTATGGAGACACAGAGTACTGACTTCCCTCCACCCCACCCCACTTTCCAGGTAAACACCTGTAGCAAGACCCTAGCTGGATTTTAGGAACTGACTTTTAAAGCAAATCTACACTTGATCTTAGCCAAAAGACTGAGAAGCGATGTCAAAGCAAATCTCATGTTTTTCTCTGTGTCTACCATGTGCTCTGACTTTGTGTGCTCTTGGCACTGCTGCCAGACCATCCCTCAGCTCATCTATCATGGGCCCCCTGTCCCTTCCCAAAGCCATTCTTTCCAACCAAGGGGCCTCCTCTCTGCATTGGGCACATGTGTTGGCATCTTTTTAAACTGCTTCATAAACAACCGAGGGCAGAGACCTAATCAGATCTTCTAGACCCAGGCAACTCCCAGGAGAATGGATGGGTGTTCCGCAGTCATTGTTGGCTTAATTAATGGACCCTATGTTGTAATTTATTATCAGGCAGCAATTAAAAAGAGATAAAATAGACACCATGGAGGATAATTTCCTGTCTTGAAGCATGTGTTTATCAACAAGATGGAATCAGTTCCCGGCCATTCAGAGCACCTACTTGCTCCAAAGTGCCTGTCACAAGCCCATTAAGAGTCTCTCTTCCTTTAGTTAATTTAAATTAAAAAAATCTGCTTTTTTCTTAAGCATGTGCCCAAGGAGGCCAGAAGAGGGTGTCACATCCCCTGGATCTGGAGTTGTGAGCCATCTAATGAGACACCCAGATTTTTACATGGGTTCTGGGGAGTGAACTCAGGCCCTCATACTTGTACAGCAGACACTCTGTTGACTGAGTCATGCCCCCAGCACCTTCCTGCTGTCCCTTCCAACTGAGCCAGTCCACTTTCCTCAGCCGGAGGCAAACACAGGTCAAAGAAGTATCAGTGGTGGCCACCACTGGCCCTGGTACCC